TTAAATTATATAAAGATACAAGTACTTAACAGTTCATGAACACGCGAATACAAAAAAAGTTCCACGCATAATTGAACTCCAAATTTCAGCGTTTTGAGTCAATAAACTTACCGCTGACCCGCTCAAGAGATTCAATACAAAGAGTGTACGAGCATATTTTCACTATTTATTTATCTAAAAATATCACATACTGATGATTCAAGACAGAAATTCCAAGACCACGCCAGTATCTCAAGACTTAGTGGTTCTTTAATCCTTTTAGATCCGATACAAAGAATGTACGAGCACATTTTCACACAATCTATTTATGTAAAAATATCACATACTGATGATTCAAGACAGAAATTCCAAGACCACGCCAGTATCTCAAGACTTAGTGGTTCTTTAATCCTTTTAGATCCGATACAAAGAATGTACGAACACATTTTCACACAACTGTGATGGCAAACTTTTTATAACCAGTTTCTAAGATTTAATGTGGTATGTATGCTGTGATAGGAACTGAACAAATGGTGATCTGTAAAAGACCCGGATGCCAAGTTAGGCGATGGAATACATTTGAACCGATTTTAAAAACAAACCCACTTTGATATAACAAGTAGCAAAACACCTCGAATCACCTGTTTAATTATATCTTTTTTTTTTCGTAAACTTCAAGGTTTATATTTTAGATAAATGTTCTTTTTAATGTTATTGTTAAATGTGTGCGAGACCCGTTTTCAATAAATAAAACTAGAAAAGTCAGCTCGTGAACGTTCGAAAAGTCGATGACGTCTTGGGGTTTCCAGCAAATGTGCACCAAGTCCAATGTAAGTTTTGGATAATAAAGATGGATCTCACTAGTTTAAAAGTTTCTATTTTAAAAAAAGGCACTAAAAAGTGTGAAATACTAAACCTAAAAATAGCATTTAAAGTATCGATTTTCACACTTCAACTGTAACTTGTTTTGTTTTTTCAAAATGATATTCTTTTACCTCTAGACGATGAAAAATGTGAATTTCAACGATTTTCATATTCAAATACGACCTGTTTCTGATTTTTATGGTAATTTCTCAGTGAACCCAAAAATATTTGGAGCTTAACAAATATTCTAATAGTTCAAATTTTTGGCTAAGTAAAACGTTTCAATTTAGATGAAAAAGGGTTTAACTTTTAGTATTTAAAAAAACTACAATTTAAGTATTATACTAGCAATGTCATCTCGTCCCTTTTTAGTTTCAAATAATTTTAAACCATATTTCTTAGGTTGAAAGAAGCTAAAAGGATTAAAGAACCATCATGTCCAGAGATACTGGCGTGGTCTTGGAATTCCTGTCTTGAATCATCAGTATGTGATATTTTTACATAAATAAATTCCATGCCTTCGTTTGCTAAAGACACATCACTAAATTAAGAAGCTAAATAAGAACGAATATCGAATACAATCCTATAATACGGCGTCCTTTTTGTTAATGCATACTAAAGTATTGAGGAACTTATATAACTGCACATTATGAATACATAATATTGTGGAATCCAAACTAACAGTACTTCAGTGTCGCATACTTTTCAAAAGTAAATTGTGTCGTAACTTGATAATTTTAATTCTGTTGAATCTAAATTTAGAAAGATGTTTGGATACATGTAACCAGTAAACTCCCGCATGATTTGTTTTTTTTTCTTATTCGACAACAGAGCCTGAACTTTCAGTATGTCTTGTGTTACAAACAAGGCTAAGAGGCGTATTAAGGCAAATTTACAGGGTTTTCAAAACTGTTCTAGTGTTTGTCCTAGTGTCATTAAATTGTGATGTGTAACAATTGTTTTTAAAATATTAAATAACAAATAATAATATTACAAAGTCCGTATCACAAACCGTATTATAAATGCTTCAATTTGAAATAGTTACAGAAAATACTAATAAAATCCCACAGTATAAATGTACAAAAACAAAAGCTACTAAGCTTCTCCAATGTAAATTATAACCTTTTTACCAAATAGAAACTTTTTTTTTCAGAATTTCGCGTAAAGCTATTCAAGAGCTATCTTCTCTAGCTGTCCCTAATTTTGAGCTTATAGACTAGAGGGAAGGCAGCTACTCAACAACCCACACAGAAAATAAATGCTCGTGATAGGAATCTATCCAGTGCTCTAACCAACTTTATAAATCGATTCATTGAGATAATATACAACAATAAGCACATAATTCAGGGTCATAGTCTACCAGATCGTAATCTCTTTACCACACACAGAGTTACAAATCCTAACAAGTGAGTGAATATTTTACACATCATATTAAATTCGTTTAGTTCCAACCTCTGTTCCGAGCACTATCAATATTTTCAACCTCGTGATCTGTGATTTTTCAGGCAATAATAGTTTATTTAAATTCTTAGATTAAGAAAATATGGAAAGCCCACTTTAGTGTAAATACGACACATCTTTACTTATTCAGTATGATGACAAAACCTTGTCGAAACGTTGTACATTTGCTGTTATATTAAAGTTTTTTCTTCATTACCCATTCAAGCCGTCTCCAGCCATTATACATCTTTACTTAGTTTACTAGCGCCCTCTATCCATTTTAACTGAATTATTTTAACATTTCGTCGTGGTCTATTGGTTTACTTAATATTTCAAATAAACTGCACTCAATCATAATGGTGCCTCTGTTTTCAATAAAACTTTCATTGATGCAAATTTTTAATGTTTTGAATACTCAACACCATTACACCATCTCCGGAAAACACAAGAGTCTTGTGTTGTTACTCTATATTTCACCTTACAAACTGTACAAAAATGGGTGAAATACGACTCACTAGACCACACCATTCAATGTCTGTGGAAGGCCATCTCAGCATCACTGTATCTGTAACATTTTGGTTGCACTTAAAAATAATGGGTTAAATACGACTCACTAGACCACACCATTCAATGTCTGTGGAAGGCCATCTCAACATCACTGTATCTGTAACATATTGGTTGCACTCAATGGCGTTCGAGCGAATTATTGGCTGTCATAAGTAATGTCCTTCCTACGGAACGGTTGAAAATAGTCTAATTCTAACCATTAAGGAATCCGACAATTAAAACTCGGTCTGATGTACTTTGAACTTTAGAAACAGTGTCCAATTTTTCCTCCTTCTACTTAGTCATTGATATTGGGTAAAAGGCATCATTATAAGCAGTCCAATAACGTTACTCACAAAAATGTCACTCAGTGATCATCGCTGTATGGCTATATTTTTGGATAAAAATATATATTTGTTAGTAGTTACGCACAAAACTAAACAATGGGCTATCAGTACTCTGCCCACCACGGGAATAGAAACCCGGTTTTGGCATTATAACCCTATACTTACAGCTGTGCCACTGGGGGGGGGGGTATTTTTATAGAAATATTTTGAAAATTCGATATACACACGAAGACAGAAAGGTGGTGGTAGAAGCCAAATTCTAACAAAAAACGTAATATATCCAAAGTATAGTGATGGAGCCAATAAAAAACATCCAAGTTTAATGTTTTTATCTTTAATAGTTCAGAAACGACAAAAAATAATTTGAAATTAAGGAGGTAAAATATTAAGGCTATGACAGAGTTTAAAAGTAGAAACATGTTGATGTTATAAAATCAATATAAATATTTCATAGTTTGGATAAAAAAATCATCTTAATAAGTGTTTTAATACTTCTTTGAAGGTCATGGATGACAGATGAATCAGTCTGTAAAATGGATTTATAATACGCATATTGATGTTTGATGATAAGCAACTTTATGGCAATTTTGTTCAAGCGAAAAGTTGTGCAATATCCGGCGCAGGAATTGAACCCCGAATTTCTGCGTTAAGCCATCAAGCTAAGCCACCGAGGGACAGGGCTTATTTATTAAATATTTCTCATCGTCAAGCTAACGGAATTTTCATGATCAATGTTTACTAGAAAGTAAAGGAAATAGTTACGTAAAATTTATATATTATATATTGATATAATGTATAGTTGTTATGGTTACAGCAACAACACCGTACCTTTTGAATAAGAATAATTAAAACAGTACTATATGGCACATTTCTGCCAAAGCCAGAAGAACACAATTACAACCTTATATACCCCATAACGCTTCCACAGACAACCAAATTATATTTGAAGCTTGGAGCCTTTTTTTCACCATTGGCTGACTTTTCAGCACATTTTTCATGTATATCACTGAAAAATATTGTTCAATAATTTTTAGGAGAACAAAGAGGTTTTATAGAAATTCGAATAGAATTTGGAAACTTGTACTTCTGGAAAATTAGGTATGGAGTGCTAAATGTGTTTCCAAGTCAATGACAAAAAAACTTTTATAAAGCGTCGATAGATGCCGCTCGGTTTATAAGAAATATTCTATAAAGGCTTATGATGCTGGATCTAAAGTATTGTGCATATTAAACAACGAGTAATTCGATTTTGTCCCCGGGGGTGATGCCAAGCCAACGGAGTATCATTTCGCCCTAGTCTCTCGCCACCGCGGAAAGTAAGAGATGAAACAGAACTTCCATTTTCTCTCAATCTTCTCCGAGATGCCTGAAAATAGAAGATGAGTAACCGTGATAATAAAGTTGCCTATAAGAAAAATAATAATACCATAATTTAAAACATTTGCTCTTTCTTAGGTTTAAACTAACTCAGCTTGTACAGATTAGATTTTGAGATTAAAAATGCAGAAATAATACCATCACTTTCATTAACATATTCATCCCAGCTTATTAAAATCTGTTTAAAAAAAAGAGTTAATACTATAAGTTAATAAGCGTTGATAGCTGCAGAATTTCGCACATGGGATTTAACATATAACTTAAACCAACACGTAGAAGTCCTAATGAAATTCCAACAACAGGATTCAAGATTTTGTGTTATATTCTACTCCTAAAATGTGTTTTCGAGCTAGCTAAAATGTCAACTCTACACCGTTAGAATCTGGTTGCATTCTAATTACATCACGTTCAACAGGGTTTTATCCATTCTCCATATCCGGGTCTTTAGTTGACAAGTTTTTCTTGGTGAGACATCATAAAGCCGTTGCTAAGTGGTAAGCTAATGTGCCGTGGCACAGCAAATCTACACAACGGGCTATCTGTGTTCTGTCCACTACGAATACCGAAGCCTAATTTTTAATGTCATAAGCATGCAGACTTACAGCTGAGCCACCGAGTTGCTTCGGTAACAATTTATTTTATAAAGCGGTTTGTGTCCAATGTCCGTGACGAACTTTTTTCAAATTTCTGAATCTCTTATCATCATCTTATCACATTCGGGGATTCTTCGGTACACCCCAGAGAGATACTGAAACTCCTTACTTTTATTAAGTTTCCAACTTGTACGGTCCCCCAATGGGACAATGATAAGTCTATTGATTTACAACGCTAAAATCAGTGTTTCGATTTCCCTTGTGGACACAGCAGATAGCCCAATGTGGCTTTGCTATAAAAACACGCATACACCAAATTGTACGAGTTTAATAGCTATTTCAGTTTTTCTCTTTACTACTGTCTTAGTGTCTACTTCCCCAACTATGATCGCTAAGAACTTTCTAGGAGTTCTTAGGTGTGGCCTATATCTTTAGGACACCTAGTAATACTAGTTAGATATTATATTGAAAATTGGCTGCGACCCGCAAAACATTTGCAGTAGTTTCATGCCCTTTGCTTGAATTTTCCATATTCTATCATTTTCACGCACGCATTTAATCTACGCTTTCTTGTAGGCATTATGTGTTAGATCAATAAATCCTAGTCTATTTGAAAATGTTTTACGTAGTCAAACAAACAAACTCATGCAGATGTAATTTTTTCTAATACAACTACACGTACATAACTTTATCTAATAAAACTACATGTAAAGTAAACAATAAAGTGTTGTAATGGTACATACGGCTCGTGAAGGTGTGTAAGGTTTTACTTGCGTATGTGGCGCCCTCTGAGTCATTTCACTAGCAAGGTAGGGAAAAACCTTATCGACAATTTCATTAAATCTCTGTTCCCAATCAGCCTGTTTCCCACTGCCACCATGTCCGCCAACTCCTATTTGAAGTTGAAATAAAAAATTAATGTTAAAAAATACCTGAAATCATTTCAAATATGAAACTTCATTTACCTCAGAACCACATTTTCCCTAAAATGTAACTAAAAGACTTACTACCTATTAGTTGTTGGTAAAATGACTTGCATCTTTTAAATCCATGTTTTACTTGGTGAAGAAAAATTATTCTATTCTTCAATCCACTCTGAAAAATACATTTTTTTAAGTGTTTAGTGCAAATTCATAAAACAATAACAGTTATAATGCTCAATAGATAAAAGAATTGATAAACCATAAAAAAAGATTAATTTAAAAAGGCCAAGCTTCCTAATTCGTTAATCTTTTGTCACTATTATGTTGATTTGTTATTATTTTGTTATTTTTACATCTGTTACTAGATGGCGCTAAACTAAATACAAGATAAAGTTTGCCAGAAGTCTATAAGGCTGCCTAAATCCAATGCAACTTTCTACATAATTGAGTTTTGAATATCGTGCTCTATAACACATGTCTAAATCCACAAAATGCATCTTAAGCCATCGAACAAATGTTTCTAGTAACTAATAAACACGAACATACACCAATTAAACATTATTATCATCAAAATGGATATATTTCTCACAGGACATGTATCGACTAACTACTCTTTCAATAATCTTACCAAATTTTCCTAAATACATTAGTTGTTACTGAACTAAGCAGCCATGGTGGAACCCATCATCTTATGCCTTTCTCACCAAATATGTCAGCCTATCAAACCTTTCTTGCCCCAAAAGTCAACGTAAACTAGTAAGTCAGTGGTTCTGATGTATACGTCTTAATCCTATTAATTAAAAACCTTTCTTACCGCACATGTCTATATACACAAGTGAACTAAGTACTATAGCTAGTGGTCCAGGGGGTGGCCAAGGAGTCGGCTCTACCATCACAGGAATAACCGGTTTTCTTAAAACATCGGCCAGACTGATCTCACGAGAACAGGTGAGTGACGTTACATATCGCGGTGTTAGACAACAGAGCACCACCTGTTGTAGAAACATTAAACAAAAATTAATAATAAATTATATCTTGTTGTTTATTTTATTCTATAAGACCAATAGACTGTTTCTAACATAATGAAGTCCTACTACAAATTGTAAAATCTATTTTTCAGCCACGATCGTTTGAATTGTATAACAAATAACATGTTCTTAAATCATGTAACATAACATGATACTGTACAGCTGATTTATGGATTATTTTTATGTTACATAACATAGTACACTACACCTGATTTATGTATTATTTTTACGCTACATAACATGATACTCTACAGCTAATTTATGGATTATTTTTACGTTAGATAAGTTGGTACACTACAGCTGATTTATGAATTATTTTTACGCTACATAAAATAATACTTTTCAGCTGACTTATGGATTATTTTTATGTTACATAACATACTACTCTACAGCTGTTTCACAAGTTGTTCTTACGCTATATAACATGGCACTTTGCATCTTATTTATGGGTTTTTATCAAAATAGCATTGTTATCCTAAAGAAACCACTTAACTTGAAACTTTCAACCTTAATGAACAGTTTGAATAATGACCTTTTCAGATTTTTATCCAATGTTTAAATTAGAATAATTGATTTAAAATTCGTGGAAATTTTGAATATTAAGTTTGTATTTATGGTAAAACAACTTATTCAAGTCAACCTTTGCTCCACTAATGCCTTCATAAATCTTCCCATAGAGAGAATCTCCACCTCCAAGCTGACCAACGTCCATCCAACATGGATAGCCAGCAAGCTCCAACCTCCTTCGAAGTTCAATTACTAGTTCTTGTGCATCCCACTGGTAACTAATGAACACAGAAGGACAAGGATTCTCGGGCTCTGATACAAAACAAAAAAGAACCTATAGTATCAAAAGATCGTTTTATGAGCTTTCTCCTCCGATTTGTTCTATATTTTTTTTCAATCTACCCCTCTTGATCAAAGCGGATATCGGAGAACACAACCATTCACTACTAGTCCTGGATTTAGGTTTAAGCAAAAGACATTAACTGTATTTGAAATGGCGAATTATTAATGTAAAGAGTATTTTAATGTATTTTTGTCAGAATTGATGCTTTGAAATACTAATTTGGATTTTATAGTAACTTGGACTTGTAATGCACTAACAGCGACATATGTTGGTAGGCTTGTGTGTGGAAACTTCATATGATTAAAATTATTTCCAAAAGCTACACGTTTAACTAATTCACTATTCACTAGGAACGTGTCCTTTTTTATGTTGTTGGAAAAAACCTCGCGGTTTGTGGAAGTTGAAAATGCTGGTAACTTGATTCATTACAGGGGAATTATGTATGCTTTATTCCTAACAATGCCCTCTTTTAACTGTTTTTATTGATTTTAATTATATTATAACTTCACTTGATACTTTTACATGGATAACACAGCCAATATACAATATCGTGCCCCTTTTTATTTTAATACTGTCTTGTACTTTTGTATTAGACTATAACTGATTATAACACAGATTACAACCATCTCCTTATTGTTTTGTAAATGATTACAGGATGGTCCAAAATTATCTTTCCTATTTTAAAATATAATAATTAAATTACTAAGAAAATACAACCATGCAGTTTCCAACATCTTTAGCCAAACTCAAACAGTTTTTATTGGCATGTCAATAGACTTCTAAGTGTGCATCATTTGTGGCTCTCAGCACATCAACCGATATTCGATTTCAGTCCACGTTCGCTGCAACCCGACCACAGTTACGGTAGCAATAGCATCCGTTATCCTGGTCTTTAGCTCCGTGATGTTTGCTATAGATATGCGATACACGATGTCTTTGACATACCCTCCCAAAAAAAAGTCTAGTGGAGTAATGTCTGGCGAACGCGGAGTACACGGAATTGGCCCACCCCGATTAATCCATCGCGTTGAGCCTCTTCTTGTACATTAGCCATCTTACGGGGTAACACTACTGAAGTAAAAACAAAAATGACAATAAACACTGTTTGAGTTGTGTTACAAAATGTTGAAAACTGAAGTTTTAAAGTTATGAAAAGAATTAACTAACTTTCCTTTCACAAAAACCATAAGAACGTGACCTCAATATTAATCTACTATTCCAATATAATTCAAAGTTACTTCTAAGTCATAGTTCATGTAAATCACTATTATAAAATAAATCTATAATTATAATTTTCGCATTTACTTTTCAATCTTCTAAAAACAAATTATTTATGAAATGTATGCCATTACCTAGATTGGCCAGAATTTTTTCGCTTATGTCTTCCCTCCCAATCTGACTTAAACAAGACACCAATAAATCCACGCAGTAGCGGGTTCTGCCATTAATTTTTAACCAATCCTCAATCATGGCCTGACTAGGGTTAGCTTCGTCTTGGAACCTCGTGGTAACTCGTTCGCTGTAACCTGAATATCAACTGACATATTACGAATCATGACAATAAACTTTTTGCATTAAAACATCAACAAATATGAATTTCTCAAGAGTAAAATGCAAAAGACGAAACGTACTTTTACACAGAGATTGTAAAAAATGAAACATACTTTTAAATGATATTGTAAAAAATGAAGTGTACTTGTAATATGGGGATTGTAAAAGATGGTGTATACTTGTAATATGGGGATTGTAAAAGATGATGTATACTTATAATATGGAGAATGTAAAAGATGAAGTATACTTATAATATGGAGATTGTAAAAGATGAAATATACTTTTAAGATGGGGATTATAAAAGATGAAATATACTTGTAATATGGGGATTGTAAAGATGATGTATACTTATAATATGGAGATTGTAAAAGATGAAGTATACTTATAATATGGAGATTGCAAAAGATGAAATATACTTGTAATATGGGGATTGTAAAAGATAAATATACTTCTTTTATGATATTGTAAAAAAGGAAACACTTTTATATGAAGATTGCAAAATATGAAACATGCTTTTACATGGAGTTTGCCATCCAGCAGGGAGAGAACTATGCGTTTCTAAATCTCTTTTAACCCTTCTTCTGTTTGTTGTCAAGTGCAAAGTTACATCATAGGCTGTCTGAGTTCTGTCCACCGTGGGTATCAATACCCGATTTTTAGCATTACAATCCCTCACATTTATCGCTAAGCCACCAAGGGGCTTAACCTTTCATAACAGTGAAGATTGAAACATGTTACCTATTAAATACATTTTCGGAACAGCTGTCTTCATTTCCAATTACTCTGACGCCACCCGGGTCGGGCGTGGCCAGTGAGTTAGTGTACTAGACTGTTTATTTGAGGGTCCAATGTTCGCTTCTCGTTGCCGAAAAGAATGCGCTCCGACCTTTGTGGTTGTGTTATAAGAATGACGGTCAAATCCCAATATTTGATAAGAGTTGGTCAACAGTTTGTCAGTTCAAAATTAGGGACGGCTGGCAAAGACATCCTTTCGTAGATTTGTGAGGTCATCCGAGACAAACAAAAACTAAGCCTGACGCCATCTCTACTCAGTTTTAGTAAACTTTACGCTACTATTCTTAACTCTTAATTTTCAATCATTATTACCTTTAAAGTCCATTTTCAGTTACCCTTAAGTTACCACTCTTAATTTTCAATCATTATTACCTTTAAAGTCCATTTTCAGTTACCCTTAAGTTACCACTCTTAATTTTCAATCATTATTACCTTCAAAGTTCATTTTCAGTTACTCTTACGCCACCACTCTTAATTTTCAATCATTATTACCTTCAAAGTTCATTTCAGTTACTTTTACGTTTAAACTCTTCGTTATCAGTTATTCTAACAACTCAAAGCTTCATTTTCATTTACCCTTATCCCACTACTCATATTTCAGTTATCTTTATCCCACCACTTATATTTCAGTTATCTTTATCCCATTACTCATATTTCAGTTACCTTTATCCCACTACTCATATTTTTGTTACCCTTATCCTACTACTACTCATATTTTAGTTATTTTTATCCTAATACTCATATTTTGGTTATCCTTATCCCATTACTGCTCATATTTTGGTTATCCTTATCCCACTACTCATATTTCAGTTACCTATATCCCACTACTCATATTTTTGTTACCCTTATCCCATTACTGTCCATATTTTGGTTATCCTTATCCCACTACTCGTATTTCAGTTACCTTTATCCCACTACTACTAATATTTTAGTTATTTTTATCCTACTACTACTCATATTTTGGTTATCCTTATTCCATTACTGTTCATATTTTGGTTATCCTTATCTTACTACACCTCATATTTCAATTAATCTTATCCCATTACTGCTCATATTTGAGTTAATGTTATCCCATTACTGCTCATATTTCAGAAACCCTTCTCCTGTTACTCCACATATTTCTGTTATCCTCATGTCACCCCGTTTCACTTTCTGTTATCTTTACGCCATCGTGTAAAAACTTCTCTGAGCATATATTAATAAGAAAGCTACAGAGCACCCACCTTCAAGCTAGTATCCTTGCCCGTCACAGAGCACCCACCCTTCACGCTAGTATCCTTGCCCGTCACAGAGCACCCATCCTTCACGCTAGTATCCTTGCCAGTCACAGAGCACCCACCCTTCACGTTAGTATCCTTGCCAGTCACAACATTGTTCTCTACACAGTTTCTCCTCTCTTACCTGTTACGTCAGTAACTCTCACGATGTAACAATACAGCAGCGATACGCAAGAAAGCCGAGGGTTTGATTGGACACAGTTTACTTAACAAAGATATTTTTATTGGTTTTAGTGTTTTAAGCGGCATTTTTTTTAACTTTCCAGTTTTTCTAATCAAATAAAAGACGGTTATTTCACGTTTGTTTGATATCCAGAATTATATGGCAATTCGCTTAATTGATGTCACAATTTGTGAAAATAGGAAAAGGTAAGATGTTCAGAAATGGTAGCCCAGTGCCATACTCCTCCCATTAGAACACCTTTTCTTTTTTCTTATCTTCCACCCCAGGTGAACATCACGAACGATGGTACAAAACGGGTCAGGCGAATAAGATGGATGATGTTATTTAGCTGACTTCCCTGTAGTCTATCATTTTAAAATGAGGAACGGCCATGCACAGACAGCACTCGTGTAGCTATACATTAAATCTCTGGTTTAGTAGCATATTTTCCCTGATCAGTCTCTATTTTACGATATTATTAATAAACGGTATCGCGCCTCACGTGACATATATTTTGTTGATTTCGGAAAAACAGCGAAATGACGGTCGATGCCCGTGCGTCGTTCGTCATACAGATATACTGACTATGGAGGACCTGTAAAGGTACCCGCGCTACGCGCAGCATTAAACGTCCCCTTCTTTCGACTTCATGTATTGATAATTGAAAAGGCTGCCAAACTCGAGCTATTCGTCCGATTGTTTATCCATTCAAACACAGTCTTCGAGGTTCGCCCGAGGTCCTCTACAAAATTGGTTCAGCTAGTTGTTTCTCACAACGACTTGTGCCACTAAACAAAGAGACAACCATGCTTTATATAGATTTATTTGTCTTGATCCATTGACTTACAGTTGTCAGTATGTCAGTGACTGAAAAGAAACTGCAAGTCTGTAGTTATTAGTGATTACTATTCCTAGGTGTTTTGTACATTTTGTAACATTGAAAAAATAAAACATGACTCTGATAATATATCTGGGTTATATATATATAGGATTATCTACGTCTATTGTTTTTGAAGTGATAGATTAAAGGGAAGGCAGATAGTCAACATCACTCACAGCAAAATCTTATAAGATCGAATAGTGGGATTTGACCGCCACTCTTATAACGTTACCCCGATCCCAAAGTGCGAAACGCTATCTTTTTTCTAAGCGGTAACGAAACGCGAACTACAGAACCTCAGATCCACAGTCCAGCACGTTAACCATTAGAGCACGCTAGGCCTATACTGGATAGGATTCCACTATAGAAATCAATTCAAATGTTTATACTTGAAGATCGCTACATGTTTCGCCGAAACGTTGTACTACTTTTATAATGAAAAAAGGTTTGACTCTCTTTAACCCACTTTGTTTAACAGTTTCTTGACTCTGATAAATCACTGAAAAGTCTCTGAGTAGAAGCAAACAGAAGTTTTTGCATTTTGTAACATTAAAAAAATAAAACATGACTGATATGTCATTGAAAGTCTCTGAGTAAAAACAAACAGAAGCTTTTGCATTTTGTAACATTGAAAATAAAAAAACTCCCTCCTATCTGTTAACATAGAGACCGATTTTTGACACTATTTTTGCTCTATAACTCAGTCAAAAATGATCGGATTTTGATGAAACTTGGTGGACATGTGTAGAATATTATTCCCCATTGTCCTGCCAAAAATGGTCCGTGCCTGTTGATAACGACGGACATACGGATACATTTTCGTATTTTTTGAGAACCGAATATGACCAACGCTGCGTGACGGGGTGTGTGCGCTCTACTGAGTTCCCCTCTAGTTTCAAATAGTTTTGTTTCTACCTAATCGTTTTGCTAAAGAAAGCCAGTCATTTCCCGCGTTAACGTCGTTGAGAAGACTCGAGGCAACTTTAATCCAGCTTTGTTCTTTTTTGTAATGATCCCAACAATACTTCGTCGTGTCATTCTTAAAAGGAAGATGGCGGAGGTCAGTGTAACTCGAAGCTTCACAATCTGAGGTAAAACAAAAAAAGATTAAACTAAATGAAAAGTTTAATATTAATTTAAAGTAAGTATTCATATCAATGTATTTTAATGTAAAATTTCCGTTTGTATTTTATTTAAATAAGAATTATCTAAAATATGAAAGTAATGTATAACCCAATAAGGTGTAATAACCTTGAACTTTGAACTGTACGATTTGTAATATCACAGAAATAATTTAAAATACTTAAATTATTAAAATGTTTACTTTAAGAATGGAAAATCACACACTGGATTATCTGCTCTGTGACTATCTAACGGATCGAACCCCAAAACTTAGCATTATAAGCCCTCAAATTTAATGACATGATTAATACTTTTATCACTGGAAAACCTAAAATACTGATAGGAAAAAAATAATTCCATTTATTTATTTCGTTTAATATGTATGAACATTTCTAGTTTTCTTACAACCTTTTCACTCTTCCATTTTTCAGAAAATAAAGTTTGGAAACGGCTTGAGTGGGTAGTGAAAGAAACTTTATTATAAATGTACAACGTTTCGACAAGCTTATGGTACTTGATGACGAAATAAGCCATTCAGGCCCGGCATGACTAGGTGGTTAGGGCAATCTGCGGGTCGCGGGTTCGAATCTACGTCACACCAAACATGGTCGCCCTTTCAGCCATGGGGGCGTTATAATGTGACGGTCAATCCCACTATTCGTTGGTAAAAGAGTAGCCCAAGAGTTGGCAATGGGTGATGATGACTAGCTGCCTTCCCTCCGGTCTAAATTAGGGACGGCTAGCGCAGTTAGCCCTCGTGTAACTTTGTGCGATATTCATAACAAACAGTCTTAAGCGTTTTTTTCCTTCCATACTCCTATCTTCAGAATATTTCTTTCAATCAGTCGACGGAGGAAGTCCCGTTGTTTGCAAAAAAATGAATACATTTCCTGTGATGTATTCTTGAAAGTGGGTATTTTGATAGATAGCGTGACAGACAGACAGGCATATGTATACATAGATAGAGATATACTAGTTTGTATTACAACTCTTTACAAAGCTGCCATATTTCTAATAAAAAGAAGTCACCCACCGGTACAACGATAAGTCTGATGGGTTTATAACGTTAAAAATCGGGGTTCGAATCTCGCGGTAGGTAAAGCATAGATAACCCATTGTGTAGCTCTGCACTTAACAAGAAAATAATCAAAAATGTCAAAAGAAAGAAATGTTTTATTCATAACCTCTCCCCGGTAATTAACCGGCAAGTTCGAGAGCCGAAGTTAAAAATCATGCTTCGATACCTGCGGTATTTATAATATTTTAAGCTCCAAATTTTACTGCTTTATTAACATATTAACTTACCGTTCAATGAGGAAAAGGGAAATAATTTTCGGATGAAGTCTGTCTTTACAACTCTGTATTCACACTGAACTGTCTGCAGGCATCGGAAATAAGAAACATATGTTTACACTGTTTAACATTAGTACCGATTACCTAAAGAAAGCAATATACTACGGGCGATTTACAAAATATTTTTACAACTCTGTATTCACACTGAACTGTCTGCAGACATCGGAAATAAGAAACATATGTTTACATTGTTTAACATTAGTACCGATTACCTAAAGAAAGCAATATACTACGGGCGATTTACAAAATATTTTTCCATGAGATTTAAATGAAATATGTATCCGCAATATATTCGGTCAATATCATATTAAACCGTATCCAATGATTTAGCAAAAATAAAAGAAGAAATTAGATGCAACATCCTATTCAGTTCTATTTCATTCTTGTTCTTCTCTGTTACTAAAACAAGCCATCAATCAAAATCTTCAATTTGAGAGTAATTTGTTTTTTGTTTTTACAAAAACTGTTACATGAATATCGGTTTTGTAACTGAAAATTAATTCACCTCCTAATACAAGAATTAATCAACAATCGTAAGTAGATGGAAAATGTTATAAAACTCAGTGGCGGAAAATTAATTCACCTCCTAATACAAGAATTAATCAACAATCGTAAGTAGATGGAAAATGTTATAAAACTCAGTGGCGGAAAATTAATTCACCTCCTAATACAAGAATTAATCAACAATCGTAAGTAGAT